TTTATTTCTGTAACATATTATAATTCTATATCCATATTATAAAAGCGAAGCGATTTAAAAACAAAATTTGACTATTAAAATTAAAAAAAATTATAATTTACATGTTATATGTATTTAATTTGAAAAAGACAAATAATATTAACAAAAAACTTAAATTTTCCTAATTACAAATTTTAAATTTAAAAATTTGAAATTTCTAATTAGCAATTGTCATTACATTTATTGTAATATAAGCTATGAATTTTTTATTTTTATTTCAATTTTGTTTTAAAAATTTAAAACAAATATTTCTTATTAATGACGTGAAATCAGCTCGAAATTCAAGCTGCGTTTTTACTATGTTAGTTAAAAGCTCAAAAACGAAATTTAGCTATTAAATTTCAAATCATTATTAACATTTCAAGTTAAATAAGCGCCTTAAGTGAAGCCGGCTTCAGGTCAAGTAACGTTTATATAGACAATAATAAGCTTAAAGCAGCCATATAAGCAGGGTACATACATGTTACTACATCATATTGTGTACCTAACTTGAATAGGTAAGTACTGCACAATAAAGTATGAATTTTTAAATTTTTAACTATTGCTTTCAATTTCATACATTCGAATGTTTTTACCTAACTTTTATAAAATGAAAAATAAAATATGAAAAAAAAAATGTTGTTATCAAAAAAAAAAAAATTGTTACCTAACTTAATTTAATTTTATTTCAGTTCAATGTTTTTGATACATTCGTTTGTTTACAATATTTTGTTTCTTTCTTGCCTACACAACTCTTATTACCATCTATTTATAAAGAAAAATGGAATATTTTAAAAATTTGAAAGCAAAATGCAAACGAAAACTAAAGGATTGGAACGAGTCGAACAGCGTTCCCACTTGAATACAATTGTATCCATTTGGATACATTTTTGCTTTAAAATTTAGCTTGGATACAAAGATACTCAAATCTGCTAAAATGTCGAAATTGGCTACATTTTAAAATTTTGCTGAAATATGGATACATTTCTTTCTCGAACACTAAATAAATGTTAGAAAACTTTTAAAGTGCTGTAACTTTTAAGTGCATTATCTTCCAAAAAATGTTATTTGCTGACTAAATAAAATTTGCCCGTTTTCGTGCTGAATAGTTTTTACCGCATAGTTCAACAGCTACAGAACATATATTTTCTGACCTTAAATTTTAAAATGTAATAGAAATTGCGTGTGATTTCTAAAAGAATTTACTATAAATAACGAAACTTACATTGTTGAATAAAGCAAATTAATATTATTTAAGAGTTTATTGGTATAAAATAAGGCGATTTAGTATAATAATTCTACTTTAGGAGGCTGGATACATTTTGGATACATTTTGTTCTTGAAATTGGATACATTTTGTTTTTATTGAGTGGGAACACTGAGTCGAAACTTTTTGAAAACTTTTGCTTTTTTGAATTTGCAGTATTGTGTTCATGAAAATTATTAGGTACCCAATAGGGGAAAAAAAATAAAAATTAAAAACAAAAAATATGTGAAATACGTGAAAATTCGTAGGTACAAAATATGTATAATTTGCAAGAAGTTTAAGTTAAAAATTTTTTTTAAAGTAAAACCTAAAAAATATTTCAAAATATTTTTTTCCTTTTAGATATCTGTAAAAGAAAAAAAATTTAAACAAAACTCATTATTTTTTTGTTTCTCTTTAAATAAAATTATTTTATAAATTGCAAATATTTATAAGCATTTTAATATCACAATATTATATGACCCTCGAAAATAAACATATTTTGTTAATATTTCTTATATTATCAGTTTTGTTTGATAATTTTACTTAACAACTCTAAACAATATTAATAACAATAATAACCATTATATTACTGACTGAAGTAGTTGTTATGTTGTCCTATTCTTCCTTATTCATTAATTAAGCTTCACAAACTAGTTTATTCTAAAACAAAAAATCTCAAAATATAAATAATTCACGCTTATATTTTATTTTACGTACTGAATTCAACGTCATCGGAACGTCTTCATTTATTTTTTTGGTGACCAAATCTTCTCTCTATAAAGGGAAACATATCTTATTTCATCATTTCATTTTAATTTTTCTAGGAAAACTGTAATTATACAAAAAAAAAATCATTTAAAATATTTGTTTATATGCTACATTTTATCAAACACAAACTCATTTTGATTAAAAAACACGGTCTTGGTAAAATTATGTCATCCGAAGTAATTTTAATTTAATCAAAGCGTTATTGAATAAATATTTCATTTATTTATTGAAATTAATAATATTCACATGTATATGGTGTAAAAAAACTATTTGTTTTTGCAAATGGGAATAACAATTTAAAACAATACACCTTTTTCTTTTTCTACAATTTTTTTTCTTTTTTTCAATTTTTTTATAAGTTTTTATAAAATAGTATTCTTTTTTAGCACATATTGATAAATATTAAGATTTTTAATTTACAAACTGCACTCATTTTATAAATAAAATAATAAAACATTCTTTGTTTACTTTTTATATGGTGCGTCTCTAAGAAAAAAAAACATTGTTTCAGTTTGACAATACTCGGAGCAAAGAAAGAAACTTACCTGTAGTTTTTGGCTTCACTATGTTTTTTATGAAGCATATAAATTTAATTAATATAGTATATACATGAAAAAAGAAAAATATAATATATAAATGTGATTATATGAGAAGTATGCATTTTTGGAGACATATCAGAGCAAACTCGTTAATATCAAATGTACATTTTTTCAAATTTGAAAAAATTTAATACAAAAAATTGAACTATTTTTTTACTTTTATTAAAGTACCGTTTACTGAAATCTTAAAAAAGTTAACTGAACCTGGAAAGTTTTTTAAATCAATTTTTTAATGTTTAAATCTTAAAGAATGTAAGCACTAGTAAAGTAGAAGAAGATTGAATTTTAACTTTTTCTAATTACAACTTTGAAAAAAGTTGGTCTTATGGAGGATTTATAATTTTAAAAACGGCCCTCTAAAGATCCAGTAAGAATTCGTGTAAATTCGTTAGCTGTGAACTGTCACTCTCTCTTAGATCCCAGGCCTGTATTTCTGTCAGCCCTGGTTTGAATCAACTAAATTACTAAACTACTGTTAGCAAAAGTTGTGGAAACTCTTTTTTCAAAACTAATTTGAATTAATTTAGATGGTGTGAAAACACTGGTTTGGGTGTGTATCTTCTGACAGCTTTCTTCAAACTAGTGTTGGAGATTTATATTGCGCCATCGATATTTTCGATATATCGTCGCAAAACTTTGGCGATATATCGATATTTTGGTAATACTTGCTGTATAGTATAATGTACCGGTGGTTCACATTTAATTTGTAAAAAAACGGTAGTGTTATTATAATCAAAAATAGAATTTATAATATGAAGAAAAACAGTATATGAATAATATTATTTGAACAATATCAACTGTAATTAGACTAATCACCGCTTCACACAGGCTTTGTAATGTGTATAATATTAGCTTTAAAAATTTTTAGCATTAATAAATATTTTCATTTTGTTAGCTTTTCATTCTTTATTTTATCGAAGAAAAATGGTTTGCTGTTTTGAACTTTTTGTATTTTTGTCATACGCTTAAGCGAAAAAAAAACTTTTTCGGCTGCCAATAAACTGGCAAGTTAAAATATTTTAGAATATTAGTAAAATTATTGTATACATTGAAACAGTTATGCCAATAATTCACATAAGCGAGTTCGGTTAAATTCGGCATTTAAATGAAATATTGTGTGCTAAACTTGAACTTTGAGATAACTAGTAACAAGGTTTTTCGCTTGTTCATCCCAAAGAGAGAATATTAAGAATATTTGGGATAAAGAGAAACAGAAATAAAAAGAAAAAATTTTTATATTCCATTGTTTTTCAAATTAATGTATGTACATACGAAAAAAATGTTAAGGAATTCAAAAATTCAAAACAATATTTCCCCGTTCTTGCTCATTTTTCAAATTTATCAATACTTGACAAGAATTGATGTTTATTAGACGTTAGCACATTATGAGCGGGTCGGGTACTAGTACCCGCTTGTGTTTATTGTCACTTATACGCGGGCCGGGTGCAAGTACCCGCTGCGCGCATTGTCGCTTAAAAGCGATGCAGGTATTAGTACCCGTTTAAAATCAGCGCTTTTAAATAGCACAAGCTAAAAAATATGTTTAATATAATGTTCAAATTGATGTATTATTATTGGGAACGCGTTAGGTATAACATCCGGAGCAATCATAACGAAACTTGTTTATCTTACAAATTTCGTTCATATTATGTTTGTGTTTCAGAATTTCGTTTATTATGATACTTTACTGCTCCTATGACAGTGCAACGCGTTCCTAGACCAATTTGTTTGATGGGACTAATTGATAAAATATTTGGTCGTCCCCTTTAGTTTATTTTTTATAGACAAAGGTCTAATAATAATTTCTTTCAGTCCTTTATTTCGTTTTTACCCATAACGACACAAGCGTTTAAAATGAACAATTCATTATGTGTTTTTTTATTCTTATATTTTTAATTATTGTACTGTGTATATAACATTATCTAAATATTTTTGAAATGTACGTTTCATTATGTGTTTTTCTTATTTCGTTAGCTTTCTTTATTCTTATAATTTTACAAAAACAAGTCATAAAATCCCCCAGAACTTTATAAAATTACGCGGATTTTAGCAATCCACCTAAAACTAACCTACAAAATTGGGAACTAATCCTATTATAGGCAATATGGATGTAGAAACTTATTCCAGACATTTTTTTAATCTTGTATTAATTTCAAAAACTTCTTAGTTTTTGAGTAATAGGCCCTCAAATTTTTTATGTATCCTGATGTATACATTGTATATTCGCCCGATACGCAACATTGTGGCCCATGCTAGGCCACCAGGCTCATGATGTGTTAGGATTATTTCGACTTTAAAATAATTGGTAGTTTCAAAAGTTGAAAACTATCGATAGTGCTTTCGATAGTTCTCCATCTCTACTTCAAACTACTTTGTCATTGTTTTGCCAATCTTCTTTTATTTGCAAAAAAATCTAAGATTGATTTGCTTTTTATAATAAATTTGTACAAAAATGTAATTTAGAAAGTGTAAAATATACACAAACCATTGAAGAATAAAAATAACACCGAATATCGCAAATTGTGAGTACATATTTGAAGAATAGCTTAATAAGAAAATCGCCAAGTTGTCAGTTTTGAAAAGGGAATGAAAATATTAATGAATTTTTCATCTAACAAAAAACGTTTGACTACACATAAGGAATGAGGAGCTGCATTCGTAATTAATAAAGAATCTTATAGTCACACCATAGAACAAAGATGTATCTTTTCCAGAATTATCAACTTTTATGGTAAAAGGACAAAATGCCATTTAATTTTCTAAAAAAATCACGGCATTATAATGTCACTTCGAAAAGTTTATTTGTAATTTCAGTCCATCATCTTTTAGGTAAGTTTTATCTGTAAATTGGAAATTATTAAACAATTTGCTTACAAAATTGGTTAGGTGCATATTAGTCAATTTTGTTGAAATTGCTTATATATGATATAAGTGATATGTATATGTGCAATGCTAATCAACATGGACATTTGCAATATGCACTAAACAACTCATAAATTTCCTTTATTTTTTAAAATTTAATACCACTAGAACATTATCTTTAAACCTAGACGTAAAAGAATTTTCCTTTATAAGATGAGGTCAATTTAATTTTTTTTAATTGCACTTTTTATTATTTTTTGTTTTTCTCATTAAAAACTCTAATTTTTAATTCTTGGAAGATTAATTTTCCATTTCGTTGTTAACAGTTTAATGTTTATTTGATAGTACCTCAATATTACAGGAGATTATATTATCCCTGTATTCTTACTTTAATGGTCTAAAAGTCTGAGGTGATCAAAACAGAATTAATTAACTTACATATGTATTTTCTGATTAGTGTATTCCAATAAATCAATTGCCATTTGCTTAGTAAAAGAAGAATGAACGATTGTGCAATTGCATTTTTTACTTTTATTTCACGTTTAAAAAGTTAAATTTGGTTTTTAAAAAAGTTAACTGTAAGATTCGATTTTCATACAGCTTGAATTCAAATTAATTGAAAAATTAATTTCAATTAATTTCAATTCAATTAAATTGAAAAACAGAACTCTGTTTTTGAATTTCGAATTCCGCAAACTACTTTAGATAATATTGTTAGTTATTTGTAAGAGAGGTACGTACTATGCACGGGGCCTGATTCGAAAAATTAACTTGCTCGTCATTAATATTGGTGGTATTCTCAAATTGAATTTGTGAAAAATGAAATTTCAAGAAAGTGATATTTACTACAATCAAAAAATTTAAACGTAAAATTAGATCGTTATAAAGTCGAAATAATCCGGCTAATCAGACTAGAATAATCACATTAAATTATTTCAAGATTTTCATATGAAAAATTTTTGGTTACCATAGATAACATGATTTTTCTAAAATTTTCATGTGAAAGCTATTTTGTTATATTAAATTTTCGTTATAAATAATAATTGTAAAATATTAGGACCGAAAATTATCTAACCTGTTTATTGAATTAAATACTTATTTCATTTATGAATCTATTTTATAATAAAAAAAAATAAAATAAATTATTTATTTTTACTATAAATTTTTAGAGTAACAATAAAAATTTATGAAATAAATAAAATCGGAAATATTTACTGTTTTTATTTAGACTAGTTTAAATAAATTATATTAATTTGATATCATTGAAAATTTAGATACTTCAACTACAGTTGATTGTACTTTAAGTTCTGAAAGTACTGGACAAGAATGTCTCGACAATGTTTGCCAGCGCTTATCGATTAATCAGCCTGAATTTTTTGGTTTGCGTTATCTAGTTAAAGGAACGAGAGAAGATCTGCGATGGGTTGATTTAGAACGTCCACTGAGTAGGCAATTAGAGAAATATGCCTCAGGTAGCAAGCTATATTTAAGAGTTCAGTTTTATATTATATCCGGAATAAGTTTATTAGAAGATGAACAGTCTAGATATTATTATTTTCTGCAATTGAAAAGTGATGTGGTTGAAGGGCGACTATCTTGTGATGTTAAGCAAGCAGTTTTGCTAGCATTGTATTGCCGGCAAGCTGAATATGATAGTTATCAAAAAGATAAAAACACTTTAGAATACTTAAAGACACTCTTACCGTTTCCTGAACGTGTAATTGATGAAGGTTTGCAAGAAAATTTGATTGAAGAAATCTTACAACATCATCCCGGTTTACAAAATTTAACACAAAGTGCAGCTGAAGAATGTTTCATAACTGTTTGCCAACAAGTTGATGGTTATGGGCAAGAGAAATTTTGGGTCAAAGACAATCACGGAAATGAAGTACAACTTGGACTTAGTATAAATGGAATAGCTGTAATAAATCAAAATAACTTAAAATTTTATCCATGGCACGAAGTCAAAAATGTCATAAATTTAAAGAGAACTTTCAATATTGAACAAGAAGGGAAAACAGTTGTATCATTCACATTTCCAGAAGGCGAAACTGGAAGGTATTTTTGGAGGTTATGTGTTTTACAACATTTGTTTTATTCAAAGTATGAAGTTAATAGAACTTCATCACCATCGATCCAACAACCACAACAACATTTAACTCCACATTCAGGCATAATAGGTGCAAATGGCAATTTTGCACAGCACCAACAATTTATTGCAACACATTCAGCGAATAATTTGTTTCATAATTACTCAGAAGAATGTAACGACAGTCAAGAAGATTTATTGAACGAACGTTTATACTATACAGGAAATGTGGGAGAATCACACCAAATAGTAGAGAAAAAAAATTCCCTAATTTCTTCAAATTTATCTTTATCTAACAGCCAATATTTACAACAACAGCAATCACAGCATCAGGTTGTACAGGTTTGTATGCTAAAACTTTTAAAATTATAAGTGGAAAATTTGAGTAAGCGTATTATATATCCATATCCATAACATTTTTTTTATTTAGCTTATTCTGTACATAACAACATGTCCATATCCTCAAAAACAACTATTAAATATGTTTTAGATATATTTGCATCATGGTTTCATCATGGTGCATGTTTAATATTCACAATGCCAATGATTACACAAATTTTTTGCGGAATTGCTACATATATAATTTTTTGCTCAAAATTTGTACAGTCAAATGTGAACATAATACACACACACATACATAAAATATTATAGGTAGTATATTGCATATGATGTGTACGCACGTGCATACAATATAACATAAATTCGGTCGTTTGATTTGAAAATGAGTAAATAATCTTGCTCACTCTACACATACGAAGAATTATCTAAAGAACTAATCGGTATTGATAACGAATACTAATTTTAAAATTTTCGCTATTATGTATATCTAATTTTAAGTTATATCAGAATTTTTTTTTTTTTTTTTTTTTTAATTTTTGATATATTACAACTAAGTCAATAGACCTATCTAGTAATCTTGTTTTCTAAATATGCAAGGACACGGTGAGCCGAACCCATCGGTAGCAGGCTCTAACGTTTCTAACAATGCCATACTGCAACTAAAAATAATTTATACTATTTAGCGAGCCAAATCAAAGGGCGTTGATCTCTTAAGTCTCCTATTTGGATTTGCTGGGACGAGCAGCTTTTGAATCTCGTCATTTGGATGTTGTGTAGCCCTGGCCTTATGGTTTGAAGCTTGAAGTGTAATCTCTTCACGTACAGTGTTAATTTTTAAATCTCGATGTATGACGTCGTTCTTTACATACCATGGTGCCTTTACGATGTTTCTTAATACCCTATTTTGTAGTATTTGTATTGCAGAATAGTTGGTTTTTTTAGTACAACCCCACAGTTGCAATCCATATGTCCATATTGGCTTGATAATTTGATTGTAAATCAGTAATTTATTGTTGATGTTAAGTTTGGAATGCCAACCAATTAACCATTGAAGTTTTTGTATTTTTAATTTCATCTCTACTTTTTTCTTTTTGATATGCTATTTCCATTTTAATTTAGCATCCAATGTCATGCCTAGATATTTTGCTGTATTTGCATAAGGTACCTGGGTAGAGTTAATTTTGATTGTAATTGGATCAACTTTCTTGTTGGTGAAATTGGTGTGGATAGACTTCCCCTCATTTAATTTAATTCTCCATAGTTGTGTCCACTTAAAAATATTATTAGTAGCACTTTGTAGTTTTTCTGTGGCCTCTTCAACTGTACCCCCCGTAGTCAAAATCGCCGTATCATCCGCAAAAGTTGCCAAAGTGTAAGTCTCTCCCGTTGGTATGTCGTTTGTATATAGCAGGTACAGCAATGGTCCGAGGACACTACCTTGTGGAATACCAGCACTTATAGCTTTCAGGGATGAATATTCGCCCCCATGTTTGACTCGAAACGATCTCTCCGACAGGTATGATGCTAGCAGTTGACAATATTCATTCGGAAGATCTCTTTTGAGTTTATAAAGGAGTCCCTTATGCCACACCTTGTCGAACGCTTGTGCGGCGTCTAGAAATAATGAGGCGCAAACCCCCTTCTTTTCAAGTGATTCTTCAATTATGTTAACAATTCGATGTACCTGGTCTACAGTTGAGTGTTTCGCCCTAAAACCAAATTGATGATCGGGTATCAAATTTTTCTGCTCAATGATTGGGGTCAGTCTACGTATAATAAGCCGTTCGAAAATTTTTGACATAATTGGTAATAAAGAAATCGGCCTGTACGATGTTTTGTCATTTGGTTGTTTACCTGGTTTAAGTATCATGATAACTTCGGCCACCTTCCATTGTCTCGGCACATATTTAAGATCAATGATTGCATTCATTATGTACAACAATTTTCTTACAGCTTTGTCTGGTAATTTTTTTATAATTTCACCCGTTATTAGATCGTAACCTGGTGCTTTTTTTACTTTTACATTGCATTTAATTTCCTCTTTCAGCTCTTTCATGGTAATCTTAGGCACACTTGCGAGATATATTCACTATGTGTGGAACATCTTCTTCCCAAGTTAATCTTGGTAGCGGTTTGAATGTGTCCTCGAGATGTTCAGCGAACAAGTTAGCCTTTTCTTTGTCAAATCTCACCCACGACTGGTTGTTTCTTAACGGAATCGATTGTGCAGTAGGCTTGTTTGCATTTTTGGACGCTCTCCACAAGGAGTAATCATTTTCTTTATCCGGTGATAGCGCCATTAGGAAGTGCTCCATGGTCTTATTTTTGTTATCTAAAAGAGCCTTTTTTAAGGCATTTGTTAGTTGGTTCAATTTCGTCTTATCAGGCGGTGCTCTCGTATTTTGCCATTTTTTCCGAGCCTTTCGTTTTTCGGACACTAGGATTCTAATTTCTTTTGGATAAGTTTCTGCAGCCCCACCGCTCGAGCGCTCAACCATTTGAGGGTTAGATGACCAAGCTGCACCCTGTATATTTTCCACCAGATTGTCTACTTCTTGTTCAATTTCATACCATTTTTTTAATGGAACCGCCAAGTTTATGCTTTCTGTAAGGTGGCGTGCAAACATTCTCCAGTTTGTTCTACGGTTGACCAATACAGGTGGGTCTTCTTTCAGAATTACGGTTCTACTCACTGTCAAGATGATGGCGGAGTGATCAGAGAGTAAATCCCCAAAATCCTGGATGTGGACAAATTTATCTGACAGACCTCTTAGGATAAAGAAGTCCAACAAGTCTGGAATTCTTCCGATATCTGAAGGCCAATAAGTGGGTTTACCAGTAGAGAGAAAGTGGCAGTTGGATTCAGTTCCTGCTTCATACAAGTGTTTACCTTTAGGGGTTGTAAGCCTGGAGCCCCATTGCTGATGTTTTGCATTGAAGTCCCCTCCAATTATGAAGTAGTATCCAAGACTCTGTATCAATTGACTATATTCTCCCTTTTTTAGATTATACCTGGGAGGGCAATATATGGCTGAAACATTAAAAGATTTTCCTTTTAGTGAGTGTACTTTAACGGTTGTTACCTGCATAGTTGCGAGTTCCATTGCTGGTTCTTCGTTGTGTTTGATTTTCTTTTTTATGAAGATTGCCGAACCACCCTCTGCTTTACCGTTTGGGTGGCATGCTTGGTAAAAGTTGTAGTCAAATATGTCCATGAAACAATCTTTGACAAGATGCGATTCAGATATCAGGCAAATATCGATGTCATCATTATATAGCGTTAATTTAATTTCATTTAAGCGATGTCGTAGCCCGTTGGCATTCCACGATAGAATTTTAAGGTCTGGCATTATCTTATTTTGAGTTTTAGCTGATTTATGCTGTTTTCTAGCCTATTTATTTGGACATAAATTGATTTTTCTGATCGTTTTTGTTCATCAAATTTCTGCAGAATTAACTGTAGTGTTCTCTCAATTGAAGAGGTATTGTTCTCAGTAGTTATTTTGTTTTTAGTTGCATGTGCATATGAATGATACTGGGGGATTGTCGTATTATTTGTAAAATCTACTGACTTAAGAGGAGTAATTAGATTACAGCTCTGCGTATTCATAGCAGCGTTGGTTTCAATGGTTTCTAAGTTCTCAGCGTTATCAATTAGCTTGCGTTCTCCGTTGTTACGCATTTTTAACTTCAGAAGTTTCATTCTCCTTTTCTGAAACTCCTTTGCTATTTCACAGCCACGATAATTGGCAGGATGCTGTCCTTTGCAGTTGGCACATACTGGTGGTATATTTTTACTTTTATTACAGCTAGCGGTCAGATGATTTTCACCACATCTGACGCATTTAGGAATTTTCTTGCAATATGCCTTGGTGTGATTGAAGCTTTGGCATCGTTGACATTGGGGTATGTAACTTGGATTTTTTCTGACTGGCTCTATTCTTACAGTGATCTTTAGAATAGTTCTAATATTATAAATACTTGATATTTTCTCTTTGTTATCGAAAGTTAATCTAAACAGGGGAAGACTCCTCTTAATGATCGTTTGCTGACCCTTGTCATCCGTAGTTTTTTCCTTCTTTATGATGTTCACAGCATTTAAAATTTTTAATCCTTGTTGCTTAATGTCAGCTATAATATCAAGGACATCACAGGTCCCGTGGAGGCCTCTGACCATGACGCTAATGGGTCTGTCATTTTTATTTTCATATGTGAACCATTGTATGTTATCATTTTCCAATTTTTTTACCAGGTTCCTGTAGCTATCTGAATCTTCTGTATTAACCTTCCATACGTTATTAGCCAATGATGTGATTTTATACTTTTTTATTGCCGCATTTACAATATTCTGTAGTTTTTTATGCTCGTGTATTCCAACAATATTTATTGGAGGTGGTACATGTTGTTTAGGTTCCTTATTTTTAGATTGTTCTGTGGTAGTAGGGTTGACAGTAGTGGTGGAATTTATATCATTGTTAGAGGGAGTAGCAATTGAAATCATATTTCTGCTGCAATTATCCTGACTAGTAATAATTTTTGTAGTAGCAGGAACAAATACTTCCGGAGAGGACTTCGTTTTACGTTTTTTATTTACGGGTTTTCTTGTGACAGCAGTTTTCTTCTTGGTTTCCGAATCTGTTTCAAAACCTGTTAGTTCGGTTTCGCTCGTGGAATAAGTAGTTCGCTTAGATTGTTGGAAGGACGAAATAGGAGTTCTCAGAGAGTCGTTTTCTGTCTTAAGCTCAATGATTTCTTTCTTTAGCGTATCGCATAAATTTTCTATTTCAGCTAATTTTTTGCGCAGAATTGCATTTTCATTTGGTATATCATTATTAACAATATTTTTAGTACTCTTCGTGGTGCCAACTTTAACATTTTGTTCTGGAGGAGTACGTTTAGTTAAGGTACTCCTACCAGTTACGCAAGTTGTTTGATCGAACGTCGATGGTATTGTATAGTGCAATAGTTGGCCTTCCCCAGAATCCGTAAGGCCGACCTCCTTGGAAGGGTGGATTTACCATTACTGGCGTACCACCTGGGGTAATCAATCCTGTAGTTTTTTCCATTGCATATAAAAATTCGTGTAATCCTCGACAGGAGCCCTTACATGGTACTATCAGCCGGGCCAGCTGAACCATGGTTTTTTCAGAGGTTGATACTCCTCTTGGATTTTAATGGACTCGTACCACAAGCATGCCTTACTGCAGGTTTTTCTTTGCCCCACCTGCCGGGCCGTATCAGAAGTTATATCAGAATAAGAAAAAAAATTTAAAGAAAATATGTAAAATTTCGTATTTTTATTGTTTTAAAATAAATTTTGTTGTAGCATACTCCACCCAGCGTCATACACAGCCATGCAAATATTTCAGCAGAATATCAAGCACAACCTCAAATGCATCATTTTACGAATCACGTAAATGTTAATGGTCCGGCGACTACGTTATCAACTTCCCAAATACTCGATCAAATGGAGTCTCGTGTTCAAAGCACATCTTGTCTTGATTTAAGCAATAATAATTTTAACACAAACCAAGATAAAGAAAGATTAAAAGCATTATTGCCAACTTACCGTGCAGCACCAGATTATGAGACAGCAGTACAGCAGAAATATCATACTAATTCAAGTGATGTTCAGATGATTCGAATTCCGTCAACTGCTGGTTTATATACATCAAGTGGAAGTCAACCTGACATTCATAACTTGCCAACGGTCCAGCAGCGGTTTCCTGATATAGTGTCACAAAATTCTTGCTCGATACCTCAAAATCATTCAATTAATACAAATTTATACACAAATATCGATTTGCTTCAACGAATGCAAATGATGCGATTGAAACCTCCACCCCCATATGCTGCCAATAGGCTTAGCTCCACATCTACACCAGATTTAGCAGTAGCAGCTAGTTTGCGTACAACACCGTTAGGTTATCGTGGAAACGCTTATGTATCTGGCTCCAGTCCAGACCTTGTATCAACCAGAACATTTTTAAATACTCAATATCCTACATCTATACAATATTCATATTTAAACTCTATGGGTCATTCACAACCATATTTACCTGGAGCGTACGACAATTTAAATATGATTGAAGAACAACCACAAGCTATTTTCTTTCAAATGAAAAAAACTGCTACAGCTATTTCATCATATGACCAGCATTCAGGTAATTTAAGAAATAAAAAATTTCACTCTTTTAATATATGTATTTCCACACATTTTTAAAAATTGCAATAGCTGGTGTTCCGCAACCAATTTATCGCCATTCAAAGAATAATTTGCAACAACATCAAAATGAAACCGCACCAAACAATCTTTTACATAAATCTAACACTACTGGTTCCATAGAACCTATATATGAAAATGTGCCATTTCCATATAATTCGAATTCATCTGTAAGTAATAGTACTCAACAAAGCAAATTTAATAACAATAGTGCAAATATTTCTTCTGAAATGAGACATCGAACATCAAGTATTCAGTCAGCACCTGGTGGAACTTCCGGGATTATTGAGGCTACAAACCCTAACGTTTTAGGAAATAATAACAGAATACAATCAAATGAAATGATTCGTCAGCAACATTCACATCAGCTACCGCAAAAATATTTGTCAAATGAAGATAAGGCAAACCTGAGCCCAAGTTACTCGTTACAGAAAACCCAAGATCCTCAACATCAATCGGACCATTTAGTACAACAGACACATCATCAACATCAAGCTCACCAACAAACTCAACCACAATTTAGTAATTTACACATACCAGGAGTAACATCCTCCACCGATTATTTAAACTTACAACTAAGCTCTGTAAAGTATTCAAAAGAACATTATAATAATAACGCAACTGGTGTTGAAATATGTCATTCGAAGCATCAATCACCATCTTCAACCTTTTTGAATTCATCTGGTGTATCATTATCAGTTACCAACAATAATTTCGAATCACCGTCTTCTGCAAATGTTACTACCAATATCAAAGAAAAACGTAGAAAAAGATGGGGAATTTTAGTTGGCCGCAGTAATAAACAAGCAAATTCGTCTTCCATTACAGAAAAGAAAAGTGCAACATTGGGTCGCGAAAAAACAAAACATAAACACAAAGAAGAATTAGATCAAGAAGAATCTAATCTACGTCATCGATGGTCAACTGGTCTACCAAAACTACAACCTTTGTCAGCTTCTTTTAGCAAGGATAAATTGGTAACGCAAAAAATATTTTAACAATTAAATACGGTTACTATTGTAGCATATTTTTATAGTGCCAGATTTTAGATGCAAAGTTAAACGACCCGCAACTCTTTATTGAGTTTGAAGGGATACTGAAAAGGCGGGAAAACGCTAGGTATGAGTGCGCGCTTTTGGAAGAAAACAAAACAAAAAATGCAGATCCAATGTTTTTACCCTATGATGGTGAGTAGTTTCACAAATAAATTTAAATATTCATTTACATATTTATGTAATATAAAATAATTATATATACTTAATATTGCCTAAAGATAATCGAGTAAGGATAACTCCTACAATGGAAAATAGGCATGGATACGTTAATGCTTCATATATTTCGGTAATTCATATTCCAACATACAGGGTTTGCGAGACTTGATTGTACTTCCGAAGCAGGGCGATGGAATACGTCTAGGCGAACAAAAACGCTTGGTGAGATTTTGGTTGTCGGTCCTCTTTCTCGAGTTATGAAGCTTCACAGTAGAAATTTCTGAAAATCATTAAATTTTTATATTTTCACTATGATTATCCTTATTTATGAGTAAATTACGATTAAAGGAAAATTTAATGAAGAATTTTTTTTGAGAATTTTCACTCGCACTTAAATGTCGCTGAAACTGAGAAAGTTTTTAATATCAATGATCCACCGCTAAAACGTGAATTTTATGAGCTTTAAAAAGAATATACTAGGTTTGCTTTGTGAACTTTCGGACCTCATAACTCGAGAAAGAAGGTCCAAAAGGCAAAATCCTACTCAGTGTTTTTTGTTCGATTAGACACAATTTATCCCCTACTTCGAAAACGCCATCGACTCTGGCACACCCTGTATGCATTAAAAATTTTCAATATAAATATTAAAGGCGACTGTTGGGGTAAATCAACGATTTTATATATTGGGACAATCTCCACATAACAATCAAACCACGCAAATATTTTGGCAATGTGTTTGGGAGGCTGATATATACTTCATTGTGCAGTTATCAGACGAATTAAATTATATTCCACCAGATACCAAGAAGTCCGTTGACTGTGGTCAAGTAAGTCGTGTTTTAGGGTTAGAAGACTTAAGTCTTCTTAACTTACAAAAAACGATAAAAATTCTAAATTTCAGTTTCAAATATATCAAGAATTTTCGCAACGAACCGATAGGTGTACAACAAGCAAATTGCGAATATATCACCAACAAACGAAACGTCAAAGATCTGTTTGGCATTTAAATTTTGCAGATTGGGCCGAGCAGAGTTGCCCTCGCGAAGTTAATAATTTCTTAAATTTCCTAGAAGAATTAAGCTCAGTTAGATCAGCTTCAATAAATGAGGTACCTCCTGGCCATAATTCTAATCCTCCTGTATTTATAAATTGCCGCGACGGAGCAGGCCGATCAGGAGTAACGTTAGTAGCCGATTTGTTATTGTATACGCTCGATCATAACCAAGTAAACACAAATTTCCATATATTTAAGGCATCTTAATCCATAAATCAAATTTTTCAGGATTTGGATATTCCTAGAGTAATAGCGCAGCTAAGGCAGCAAAGAGACAATTTAATTCCTTCTTTAGCCCAATACAAATTTATTTACGCTTTACTGATAAATTATTTGAAAAGAACGAGATTAATTTAGATTTTGAAAACTTTTATGGGGTTAGCATGTATCATATTAATTGTATTTTATTAAATTCTTCAATCTAATTCGTATAATGTTAGATTACGAATAAATTTTATAGAAAACTTATCTTCGTGTGCATATGTTCGTTATGTGGAAGTGGGAAATTAACTTTTATATCTTAGAAATGTCGAAAATGGAAAAGAATATAGAATTTTGATTGATATTTTTAATAGCTTGATGTTACTGTTACGAGAAAAAGATAACTGACCTTACTAGAATAGATAACTAGTTTAAAAGTCGCCTAGGTTATTTTTTTAAATTATATTTTGATATTGGCGTTCAAATTTTAGTTTAAGAAAATATATTCCACGCTAATTTATATACCACTATTTCATAATCTGTTCTCTATTTAATTCAGATATACATAAATATGCATAATACTTAAAACACAGTTTTGCTTATATGTAGGAAATTTTAAATATTTATGTAAGGTTTAGAACAATTTTGTGGTAGGAGATTCATATTTAACTTGATTAAAGATAGTTGGCTACATCATATTCACACGAGGTTGATGATTTTTCAAATAAAATATCTTCAACATAAGTACATTTTTTTTATACTTAAAGTAATAATGTATAAAAAATAGTAGTAAAAATTTTTTTAATTATTTAGAAATCAATAGATTGTTACACAAAATTAAAACAATTTATGTGCCTTAAGAAAATTAGAAAAATAAATTGATATTGTATACATAAATGTAGATTAAGAAAATAAATATTTAATATAACTGTAAAAAGCAGAGTACATAATATATGTATGTTTGTATTCAGTTTGCTTTTTTATACCCTGCACTTCGTGAAGGGTATATTAACTTTGGTTATTAATGGAGTTTGTAACTACTTGAAGGAGTCATCTGCGGTATGGACATATATATATTCTTGCTCGGCGTAAAATTCTGCGTCGATTTAGACATGTCCGTCCGTCCATCCGATCGCACGATAACTCAAAAACGAATAATGCAATCGACACCAAACTTTCACAAGTTGTTTCTTTTGTGCCAAGGACGATCCCTATTGTAATTGGACTAATTGGGACAAAAGGTTCGGGTACCTGCTCTAAATTTTAATGGGATGGTTGCATCGGTTCGGGTGATTGCCATACAATTCCAAAAGCAATTTTTTTATATTCAGAAAAATAAAGTCAGATTCGTGAAACTTAGCAGTCGTGTGTCCAATTTTAGGTCAAATATATTTCTGAAGTTTTAGTACAATTACTTGACAGTTCCGGGTACCTGCCATACAATTCCAAAAGCAAATTTTTTATATTCAGAAAAATAATAAAGTCAGATTCATGAAACTTGGCGGTCGTATGTCCAATTATAGGTCAAACATATCCGTGAAGTTTCTACAGCATGATTTCACTGGCTCGAGTAATTGCTATACAACATTGAAAGGTGTAGCGTATAATTCATTCAGTTTATACCGACTGAAACGTTTTTACTTGTTTAATTTTTGAAGACGGAAAGTAATATAACGACAAACATATTATATATACTCATACAATAAAATAAATTTTATACAGCAAGCCGATTCAAATCGTAAAGAAAATTTTAAACAGAAAATTATAGATTCAAAAATATATTGTGACAAACCATTATGCTTTAAAGAATGGCATTAGATACGTACAACTCTTCGAAGAGCAGGAAATTTTGCACAAAACTTATTTTGAATCCCAAAATTTATACCTTTTATATTTTTAATATAATGTTTTTGGTTAGCGTACTTATAGCGTTTTACTTTTACCACAAGGATTTTAGTCTCCAACTAAAAAAGCTCTTTGAACTAGAAAGTAGTGTTCAAGGAATTATGGTAAGTTTTTCAAATATGGTTGAGATTAGGTATTCTTCCATTTAATGTGCAAGGATTATTTTAGTGCGAATTGGGACACACAAAATCAATTATGGAAGTGCCTGAAGATAAAAATGTGGAATGTTTATTACAGCTGGCGAAAAACACGTGTAAAGAAACTGTAAAAAAATTGTGTTTTGAAATTCAAAAAAAAATTTCTAAATTGTACTTATATAAAACGGGCAGATTTTTTGAAGTAGACCCAATAGCGAAACAAAATAGCGAAATTCAAAAAGCAGCAATGGTAAACTATGCCCAAGAAACATTAGGCGCTAAAATTGTATATACAAAAGTCACATATTTTTCTCTGTATCAAAAAATTTTTACCAGTATTGTTCGTTTATTATCATTTTCGAATACACCAAGAGAGATTTTGCGGCAGTCGCTAGAACCAGGAAGTTGCTACGGGTTTAAAGGACATCAAAGTGTTGTAGTATTAAAATTACAAAAATTTGTAAATTTACCATTATGCTTCAAAGTAAACCCAGGTTTAACTAACAAAATCTGTCTTTAAGGTTATAATAAAAAAAATTTCGATTGATCACATTATGAATTTTATGAGTCCTACAGGAGACATATCAAGTGCCCCAAAGAACTTTGCTGTTTACGTATTACTTCATATTTTCGCATAAAATTTATTTTCATTTTTTTAATCTTTTTAAGGGATTAAAATATATGCATGGTAGTAATTTAAAATTAGAAAAACTACTAGGAAATTATACCTACAATATTTATTCAAAACAAAATTTGCAATTTTTCAACGTAAATTACACTTCAAACCCTTTCAAATTAGTGAAATTCGATTTTCTTTCTAATAACGGGAATAAGGATTTCACATGCATTTACAGGTAAAAATTAATATTATTAAAAGCTGATGTGTATTGTATATTATTAACATATGTGTTATAGATCATAGAGCCTCTCATTCCAGTATCAAGCTCCCCTGCGTTTAACGGGACAGCTGGCCACAAGGTCAGCAATATAAAGCTCCGCTTGAAGTAAATGAAGAACGTAATCAAGGTATTCGTCGACGTCAAACTTAATGCCCTGCAATACCAATATATGCAACCCTTTGAACGCTGCCAATTTTACTACGTTTGTATGCCTCCATCGTCGGTCGCCACATATTCGTTTCATAGGCGAAGTTTGATCCCACAATCATTGTATTCAACTACATAATCAGACTAGGTTTCTTGAAATCTGCAGCACAAATCCCAAGTACCTTACTGTAAAAGCCAGGAAACACCACTTATGTCTAGACAGAATTTTACTTTTTTTGTAATTACCCAGAAGCACCCTCGCTTGCCGTAGCCTCAGACGTGCGCTGCTTAACTTCAGCCTTTTTCCTCTTCTTTGCTTCAAGGTGTCCTGGCACCCTGCACAACTTGACCCGATTGTCTTGACCCAACCGATCAAGCTTGCCTAGACAGTCTCACACCATCCGGGAGGAAACCAAGTTACTTTTTGTGCTTTTCGAGCGCGGTCCTTTTTCCTCACACTACCGCCCCTACCGCGCTCGATTAGAAGCGGCACTGTTATAATGGTTTGCATCCACCTCATGATAAAAGGCTACATCCACAAAACTTACTCGCGGCAGCCCTGTATACCATGATGGCCCTGGTAGCCCTTGCCAGGAATACTTCATGTTTGTTTCACCGAACTCCCTTGTCAAACGTTAAACCCAAATATTTGACGTCCCATTCCTCTCTTTCTAGGATAGATAGATATAGCTGTATCCATAGATCTTCCGACTCAATAAGAGGGTAAACTAATTTCCTTTTCATGACTCCTTCTTGCCGATTTTGGGACTTAAATTATTCTAACACGTTTTCATAACACGAGTAAATGGGCCAAAAAGAGCCAGCAACTAAAAACTTTTGGAAGCCACGAAATTTTTTCTTTTTAATACAGGTGTTAAAAATCATCGAAAGACAAAGATAGGCGAATCCAACCTTTCGTCAGACCTATCAATAGAGGAGGACTTTAATTCAACCTATATACTTCAATGGTAAACAGTTTTTCAAAAAGTTTTTATATCATTGGTTGAGAATCATACGTATACACGACTTTTTCTCATTCAAAGGTTTCCCCGGTTTTCCTATCATAATAGCATCCGCTATTTTCTAAACGCTGGGAACATACCTCAAATTGACTGCTGCATTTATGAATTGTTTCAAAAATGTTATAGCGATTCTCGGCAACTCTTTTACTGTCTCAGCAGTAATAAAATCAAAACTTTGGACTTTATTCAATTTAAGCGATTTTATCGCTTGGTAAATTTCATTTTTCATTAAATAAAGCCATAGTGCTTTCATCCATATCAATGAACAAATAGTTCAGCTTTATCCCTGTTGCTTTTGCCCCTGATCCATCTGCTTTTTTCAGTGGGGGAATTCGCTTTATCGGCTTCTTGGTACTCTTCGTAGCTTTCCACAACGAACAATTCGTCGCCGATAAGTCCTTTATATATTTCTCGTTTCAAAAATTTTCTACTTTTCTTCTGAGTGTTTGAGAAATTCTATTCACAATAATTTTATCGTCTTGTTGACGCGACTTTTGCCATTTACGTCTTGCCTATTAAATCAGTTATGTCCTTGATATAATTACTTGATACAGGCTCCAATGCAGAGAATCTTGTATTTTTCTATGCGGCTTTTTGTATCAATTTGATAAAACCCTTCACCTCGAAATCTAGTTTATCTCTAGTCTGGAGTTCAACATTAAGATTTATGTGTCTAATAACATCATGTTTAAAGCCTACCCAATCTCTGGTTTTGTTGACTGAGGGTTAATATTTTCTCACTAAGGGTTAATATTAAATCCTTTTGAATGGTTACCAATGTGAGTTGTCCTATAGCACCTATAAGCCAGTACATCCGTGCCTTCTACTTAGAAGGCATTTGGGCTTAGGAGTTACTACTATGAAGAATAGTCATTAAGATCTTGTCAATTCTTTGTACCACGTCTTGCATCATTTGCATTATGCTACCGTCAATTTCTTTAGTTTTTTGCATTGTATTATTGTTAATTTCTTTATTATTCATGCCTTTCTTAAGTCTTTTATCAATATAATTTTTTGTCGCTTTGCAAGCCACTTGTGTGCATGTAGCACCACTTTTCACGTTATTTAATGTAAAAGCATCGATCATTTTTGCGATTCTTTCGTGATTGCCTAGGACCCGTTTAGGTCGATTCCTTTTCATTTTCCTTTATTGTAATT